TTTTTGTGTTATTGATTTTATGTGATAGTATTATACAGGGTGGCGCATCGAAAACGAAACAGACGCATTTACTGGCAGCTCAGTTTTTTTGGAAAAACGCTCAGACCCGTCGATTTTGTTTTCGAGGGGGACACAAGTTTGGCAAAACATCACGTTAACACGTGCAGCCCCCTGGGCGAGGGTGACACCAACCCTAAAATCTTAAATGGAAAGGGGGGTCGAGTGATACCTTATTTTAAAGGTCTTTCAATTCCCTTTATAATGATATAAAATTAATGTACTTCAGTTCAGTAGTTTTGAAGATTTATTGATTTAAAGCTTAAAGTAGACCTTAATAGGTACATCAGATTAGTTGTACTACTTTCAGAAGAAATTTGACTAAAAGAATTTACTTAATAAGTAAATGCTTTTCTTCACTATGCCCATGGTTTGTGTATCATTTTGTTGTTGAAAATAGCTATTCGAGCGTTTTTTGTGGCAAAAAAGTTATTTCTTGAAGAAAGATAAGGAAATATCGCGTAATTATTTTAAATAGGAGTTTGCGATTGATTTTACCAAACTTTGTTGCTAAAACAACTTCTAACGCTTTAATTACATAAATTAACCATGGTATATTCCACAGCAGAAAGAGTTGAAATTATTGAAGCAGCCACAAAAATTAAATGTTTGGGCTGGTATTTATGGCGATCATTTAGTTGGTCCTTTTTTCTTACCTGGAAATTTGACCGGTGAAATGTATTTGGAATTACTGGAAGACGCCATAGATCCTGCATTGACAGATATAATTGAAAATCAGAATGATCGGCGGTAAATTGCGAATAGGTTGATGTTCCAACAGGATGGTGCCCCACCACATTACGCATTATGTGTTCGACAATATTTAGATCAGACGTTTCCAGATCGATGGATTGGTAGAAGAGGTGCCACTGAATGGCCCCCAAGATCGCCAGATTTATCATCTTTGGATTACTTTATGTGGGGTCATTTAAAAAGCAAAATCTATGCTTCTCAGCCAACATCATTAGAAGACCTGCGACAAAGAATTGTGAATGACTTTTTGACCAAAATCTTTATTATTGCATGGAGAGTCATGGTGGCCATTTTCAACATTTACTTGCCTAAAGCGTCAGTTTATTCTTCATTTTTAAATTACTTTGCTGCCAAATGCATTGATCTCCACTAATGATGATGTATTCGTTTTATTTAAGCTTTAAATCAATAAATCTTCAAAACTACTGAACTGAAGTACATTAATTTTATATCGTTATAAAGGGAATTGAAAGACTTTCAAAATAAGGTATTACTCGACCCCCCCTTTCCATTTAAGATTTTGGGGGTGGTGTCACCCCCGCTTAGGGGGCTGCACGTGTTAACGTGATTTTTTCCAAACTTGTGTCCCCCTCGAAAACAAAATCGAGGGATCTAAGCTGCCAGTAAATGCGTCTGTTTCGTTTTCGCTGCGCCACCCTGTATATTATAGACACAATATGTTACCTTACTTATCACGTTTAACTTAAATTAATAATAGACAAGTTGAAAGGTTCTAAATAACTTAAGACAAATAAAGGGACGTACTTTTGTCTTGAAGTAAATTAGTTTCAAATGATACCTTTGTGCATCAGTGACATATATCAATTTGTTATATTAACTATTTATATAGAAGAAGAACGCAGAGAAATAGTATATACGACATCTTTAATTTTGTATGAAATATGTGTAAATGGTTTTTTAATGTTTTTTATGTATAGGTGTTAATAAATGCATTTTGTATTGCTAAACAGTTTTTTTTTTTGAGTCATGGTAAACAAAGCCGACTATGAACATGTTGAAATTTGTCCTGTAAAAATTTCCAAAGCATAATACGGATGAGAAACCAAAAATCCTTAAGACGTCTCCCAGAAAGTTGCATAGATGCTATCGTTAACTGAAGTTGTTAAGTCATTATATATCCTTACTCCCATGTAATTTAGAGCATGGGAGTAAGCCTTGAGATACATGTAGTAATTATTTTTGAATTTTGTTCTGTTTTTATGGATGTAAATGCTGATTTCATAAATATTAAGACAAACAGTAGTTAGACTGTTAAGTTGTTTAAGCACTGCCCTACAAGATGTTGTATTTGAAATGCCTAAATAACCGAAGGAGATATTAATTGAACAAGTTGGCCCTTCAAAGTTTTTTGATTGGCATATATGTATTCATCGCCCCAAATTTATTAAGTGTAGCAAGTAACGTTCACTTATACAAAGTCTTATAATTAGAGATAGATCCTAAATCCTTCGTCAAGTTGACGCTAGCAGCCGCGCGACTCGGTTTCTACTTAAAAATTTCAATCATAATCTCTTGGTTAGGAGAAGCAGCAACATTGTTTGCATCTACCACGCTGGAAGGAAGTTTCCTTTTTTTCATGCTAGTCCGACTCTGTTGGTATATGGTCAATGTAAAATGGTGACATTAGACATCGGTTTTATTTATGGTAGACCAGACCACAAAAGGCGTAAGCTTGCGACGTTCCAGGAACATTGCAACTACCACGATATCTATTTACATTCAACTTTACTGCTAGATGTTGTTTGTTTCCGGATGGTACGTTTATGGGCAGACCATTCTCGAGATGATACAACTTTGCCGGACTACTCGTGCTCTCGATATACGAGGACTAATAGTAAATTATTGCCTCCTTCCAGTGGGATAGAAAACCTCCTCCCACTAGGATATTAGTAGGAGTAGTGGAAGGAGATTTTGTGAGAGGTGGAGCTTTTTGCTTCCCACGCCTACTGGCGAGGAAGTATTGTAATTGTAGAAAATTTCGAAAAGGATATGTTTTTTTGGATCACGTAAAACCATATCACTTAATTCCATCAGTCTGTCTGTCTGTCAGCTCCAACTTTATCTTTTGACGTTCCAGCGGCTCCTGATCATTTTCAGAAAAAAATTGTAGAGGTTGAAAATCGGGGATAGAGGAGGGTATATCTCACTTTGTTGCCGTCAGTATATTTATACGCGTAGAATCCCAGTAATTTCACACACCTATCAGTACATATTTCACACATCAAAAATTCCCCCGTACAGTTGCCATTTTAACTTAGATAAATATTTATAAACGAGACACGAGGTCGATCGGTATGATGCGATGCAACGGCGGCTTTCATATGCCGGACCATACCATGAGGCTGACAGCATGACCGGCAGGGGTGTTATAGTATCGTGGCTGACACTTATGACCTGTTTGTCTGGTGTGGTCCAGCATCGTTGCCAGATGGCCGATACTTAGGGCAGGGACGAAACTAGCATTAGCGTTATCAAATGGATGGGGACTATGGAGTATGTACTGATTGTATATCTAATTCTTTATGAACTGATGACAGCGATGCAGAGTCAACCTACTTGACGCCATTTTTTACGCAAGCCTAATGTCTACATACTCCTAAGCACCGTGGGATACAGGGAAAGGGGGGACATCACAGGGACACTAGCGAGGGAACACAAAGATCCACTGGGTGGTACTTCCACGCTCGATGGTTTAGAATGGTCTACCTCCTACTGACATCACAACATCAATAGGATCTAGACCAGGATTTTACTATTTCATCACCAAGATCACAGGATTCTCAAGCAAATAAACAGCCAGCCGTAATATCCTACTTGTGTTTAAAAATGGCTAACAGCTGCATAGAATTTTTGGGGGTTGGGAACGTTTAAATCAGGGTTTAAAGGTACTAACATCAAAAAGATTTCCTATACCCACCCATCCCCTACAACCCACAACCCCTGAATTTTAAATCCTATAATTTATTTTGAAAATTATCAGGAGCTTTAGCGATTGTTATTTATTTTCTGTTGTTTATTCCCCTAGCTCCGTGGCCACTGGATCAACTTTCAAAAACCAGAGCGCGACTTCCAAGTTATAGGCGGTCCAAAGATTAGCAGATAGACAGACCGACAGACAGACAGGCAGAACGACGGAAATGAGTCACATGGTTTTTCGTCGTAATGTACATGTCATAATATAACATCCGAAACAATAATACCCAATTTTCGAAATTATTCACGATTACAATACTTTCTCGCCCAGTGATGTAGGAAGTAAAAAATTATACTGGTCTTATTTATGTGGCCTGGTGGTAGAATATTCATTATAAGACAAGTTATTTTGATGTAATATCTGTTATATAGTGCCATGGGTAAAATGTATCATTTCACTGTCGTTGAACAATATTGCAAAACGGACAGGTTGACTCCTCTCGAGTAATGGCTAATTGTAATAAAGGAAAGGAAGAATATATTATGTATGACCATTTCACTATACGTAACAGTAACAGTAAACCTTGTAGGTGCATATTAAATGGCAGCCAGCAAATATTGGCTACAAAATGTGGGTCACATTCGCCGCTGTTGTGTTACATATGGATATGGTTTGGTGGGGTACCCAACTGTACAGGAAACACCACTAGACCGAAAAAAAAAACGTTTTGAGAAAATTTCATAATTATAATGATAATTATATGATGGCTATTATTCAAGTGCAAATGGAATTCGGATTCCTATCTATATAACAATCTATTATTTCCAAATGTTTATGATTAAACTGCCACGTCCTTGACTCGAATTTTTCGGCGTCTTTATGTAACGGATATTTTTGCAAGAATGTTTTCTGCGGCGTAACATCGCTTTTATGATGCTTGATTACTGCCTATTCAAACGTACAACACTGAATCTCAAGTTTGATCCTTTTACTTCTCACGCATACATTGTATGAATCCAACACTTATTTTAGAGCAACAACTATTTCATTTGCCTCCAGATGCAAATTTTATAAATAGAATGCGTCTTTGTATTAGCTTTTTAATGAAATTCAAAAGCTATGCATGACAAATTATATCACATGGATGGACACGTCTAGAAGTCACCCATAATGTTTGGCATGAGCGACTTATCAATAAACTTAGCGTTGTATAAATTTTCAGAGTCAAGCAAGGAGATGAATATCAAGGCGAGAGTACTGGGTCCAATCTTCTGTCTCAGATATTCTTGCTATGACAGATGAAACAGTTACAGCATTTGCAGACTACAGGTATAAAGCATTGATTTCAACTTACCAAGATATATAGAGTAAAATAGAGATTGCTACCGATAATTTAGTGAAATGTAGGACATTAATTAAACTGACCGAATTGAAATCCTCCTTTCTTTACACCGAAGCAGCCGCGCAGGCAGAAGCCTAAATGCCAGTGCACCGCGGCTGCCATGATGAGCCCGAAGAAACTTTGTTAATCCGAGTTTTGAACTGCCTAAGGTTAGAACTGAGAAAAGCCTCCTCATGTAGATGCTTCCACAATCTCGATACCCTAGGGACAAAGGAGCGGTCGTATCGGGCAGTTTTGAATGTTCTCTGGAAGGCCATAGGATGGAAGTTTGCATAAAAGGGCAGCGTGCCGCAGCTGATCGAACGCTTTCGTGATATCAAGAGCAACGAGATGAGCCTCACCATAAGACTGAATGAGTTTACTCCACAATTGCGTGACGAAAGCTTGGAGGTCCCCTGTGCCGAAAACCATACTGCCTGTCGCTAATCAAGCAACAAAGTTAGAGGTAGTCCAGAAGCTCGCTATTTATACACGTCTCCATCACCTTACTAATAACAGAAACCAGAGCTCTGATCTGTAGCTGTAAGGGTCGGTCTTAGATTCATTTTTTGGGATGGGTTGGACATGAGCAAATTTCAATTTCAGTACAGCGGCAGGAATCTAGTCCGGGCCAGAAGCCTTGTTGACTCGTCTTACGGTCTTATACCAAAATGTTATTTCCCGCATGGCTTAGGAAACCCTTTGAATCAACAGCACACGGACGTTCGGGGAGACGTCCATGGTGGAGTTGGCAGCAAAGATCTTTAGCCTTGACTCCGTTACTGTCGTTTCATCCTGGCACGTAAGTGGTGGAAGGCTACTCTTCGAGAAGGTCCTTTCAATATGCTTGGCCAGAGTCCAGAAAGACCGACCGACATTACGCTGTGTCTAGTTTCTTTTACATCGTGCTGGTCTTTGGCGTTGCGGACCGCTTGTTATATATTCGAGCATCATTTGCAGTGTTAATTTTAGGCAGCAGCGCTGGTCGCAGTAGTGGACTCTTCGGTCTCCTGATCAGTCGCCGTGCGCTGTGCGGGTTCGAATCCCGTTCCAGGAGAAATGTTTCTCTTGGCTATGGATGTTGTGATTATCCGTAGGTGGTAGACGCTCTCTGACTGTCGAACGCGGAGGTACCACTCGGCGGATCTCGTAGGCGGGGCGAGAATGTGTACATGTTGCATGCACACGTGTTCCCTCGCCAGAGTCCGTGTGTCGTTCCCCCTTTCCCCTGTATCCCCCTATAGCCCCACGGTATCCCATGGGTGTTTAGGTCTTCGTGGTGGTTGGAGTATAAAAAAAAACAAAGGAATCTCCAGAACTTCCAATACACAACTAAGAAAAAAGTGTCCACATAATTTTGAAGATATCGGAGAGACAAATCAGTCAGTTATATGTATATTGGCCACCATGTATGGTTTCAAATCCTTCAACAGTTTAGGTTTCGCATAAAGCCGCGTACAGACCGAGATCCCAACGCAAGCCAATGCACATGTAGTTACAGATTTGGAGGTGTTCGAATCGGTGTGTACAGCGCAAGCGAACATAAGCCAACGGTGTCTAAGGTCGGGGTTAGCGTTCCACTGCTTTCGCTCCTTGATCGGTACATCAAAGGGAGGTTTGATTTGGTCTGAACAGAATTTGTTGCGCTCTAGTATTTAATCTGTGTCTGCATTCGATGAAAGTAGACTCCTCGCTTGACAGAAGCACCGAATTTATCCCAACGAGGTCCAACTCGGAAATAAATTTAGGCGTAGATGAGCGCATTCCAATACCTTCCAACAACAAACTTCCATTCGTTTGCTCCGCGTTGGATTTTCGGTCTGCACACGGCTTAAGACTAAATCGCGTTGTGCCTGAGGCAGTTTTCATTATCAGAATGCATTTCTTCGAACGCGTTGCATAACTCCACCCAACAGTAACAAGGTCTTAAGCTAACGCGCTGTATAAACGCTGTTACGTACATGTACTGCTTTGGCATGGTATTTTGAATCGAATGTGGAATTATTGTTTGCTTATATTTATGTAATTGTATGTTTTGCGATTCGATATCACTTCGAGTTAACGATACAGAGTGTTCCGAAATATGTGGACATGTAGAACACAAAAAATGGCACGAGAAGTTCATAAAAATTGTTCTGAAAGGGCCGTGTAACCTGATATACTCGGGTACCGAAAAAGAAGGAAGCAGAAATTTGTCAGTTCAAAGGCACGCCGCACCAGCAGTGGCGTGCGGTGTGTTTTGCTACTCTCTTTCTTTTCGGTACCAGAGTATAGTGAAGGAGGGTTTTCAAAAGAACGGTACAGTATAGCAAGTTATACCGGGTGATTCACAAGTCGTGACCAAAAATGAAACATCATACACAGGTCGGCATTTTAAGAGGGGTCTTTTATGTAACATTTTTTCCTCAAGGGCTTCATTAAAAAGTTACCGGGTGTTGAAGTTTAAATATAAAAAACATTTTTCTTAATATCTTCACTGGGATGAACTAAAATTAGGTATGTGGATTTGGCTAAGTATTGCCCACATTCAAAAGTCTTTACTTGAAATTAACGTACACCAGTGGCGGAGATACAGGGGATTAGTGGCATTATTTTTCCAAATTAAAATAGTGCGCCACTGTTTTTTTTTTCATTCCAGTTGACGGTTTTGCAGATATTAAAAAAAAAGTGTTTTTAATTTTAAATTTCAACACTCCATATCTTTTTAAAATGCGGTCCTGTGTATGATGTTTCATTTTTGGTCGCGACTTGTAAATTATTAATTTTTTGCTCGATATCGAATCTTTTCTATAGACACGAGGGCCAACCCGACAGTGGTCGCTATGTGAGATTTTCTCTCACATTTTTATAGATATAGGTATAAATATATTTTTTTATAGATCTGCAAGATCCTGCGCCTCCATTTATCACTTCGTACGGCAATAATTGTTGTGTCATAATTATTATGAAAATAGCAGGGATTAGAGCAGAAAAAATGCTCCGCAACTAGAGGAAGACACAACTCGATTTTGTTACCTCTGTCCTCGTAGAAACAATAGAAAAGCGAAAAAAAGGTGCAATACATGCCAGATGCCGATTTGCCCCGAACACACAAGTAAATATATTTGCTCTAGCTGCCCAAACGAGCCTAGTGATTCGGACTGATTTTATTTCAATAAAACATAAATTAGCTTATTTCTTTGTTTACGAGAACTTTTGTTAATCATCTTTCCAATTATTAAGGTTTTTTTTGTATTATGTTAGTAGTTAATGAATAAGATACTTATTATATTCTGTAATAAATCATATCAAATCAAATATTTTTTTTCTATAAGACTATTTAAACAGACTCAATTTTGTGCCCGACCAAATGTGAGAGAAAATCTCACGCGCGACCGATGGCAAAAAAAAAACGTCTAGCGACCAATCCAATAAAAGTGTCAACATTGTGAGGGCAAATAAGGCGCTTCCATACTAATGAGGCCTCAAGCGAGAAAACGTCTATATATCGACCCTTAGGACTTTTTTCAAGCAACTTTATGTTGTATTTGTATGAAATTCGAAAGATGTTTGATGACCCCTGTAATACTAAACCAATCGTTAGCAATGTGTGGGCGTCTCCCTTTCCCTTTCGTTATTACACCATTGCACTTGTGGTATATGAGCTACCCGATAAATGCTTCATCAAGTTCGACTGTATCATTACTAAACAAACTGAGCGACATTTAAAGTTGATACTTTCTAAAGCAATTTTCTCCCAGATCTTTCGGTTTGTAAATCACGAAACCAATATTGTACCACATAACTAATCATCATACTATACATCATTAATGTATCTACCAGTGCCGTAGATTATTGGGGTTAGTTTAACAACTTTATACGATTCTTATGAGTCGATTTTTCGGTGAGTGTTCTACATGTTAGAGAATACTGAAACTAAACATTCTTGCTCTCTTCTATACAGGGTGTTTCAAAACTTACCCACATTATGGCCTGTTACGATTGATGATTTCTCAAAAAAATGTAATAAAAGTCCTACAGAAATCGAGATAATAAAATAGTACAGTTTAACAGTTCACTTACTTATATAAGCTGTTTTTTTGAGATATCAACTACTTTCGTAACAGTGCATATGTGGTTAAAATTTGTCGGTTAAGTTGTGAAACACCCTGTATACTACGTCAACGGGCTTTTTTTCTCAGAGCTCTCGCCCATAATGCTGTCAAATATTGAGCATGCCAGAAGGACCTGTCAGACTTCTGACCCATCTCAACACTATCGAACTTCGTATATGCAGAACTGGCTGGTACGATCGCTCCTTTGTTGCTAGGAGGTGGAGATTGTGGAACAATCTGCCTGAGGAGGCATATTCAAGTTCTTATATGTCAATCGCAGTGCCATGGTATTTAGGACCTTATTGGTAAGCTGAATCATACCAGTTTAAATTTCTGTTTATTGTACGGTGGCCTTCTTGTAGTACAATGACAATAAGGACGGTATGATATTGTCGATAGTACCAGTAGCACACCGAAGGTGTTGTCAGGATATACATAGATGGGTATCACAACGTCATTTACACCACACTGTAAGAGTCATGGTTTTAGGTGCCATCATATAAGGAGCTTCGTCACATCTACGAGTATTTTCCACTAGAGAAACATCGCAGCGATATCAGGTATTACAATAACCTGATCTATTATCATTTCTCCAGACGCTTGAGACTCCTATTTTCCGACCCCAATAACGGTCAAACAAATATATTCCCCTGGCTTCCTAGATATCCAGATCATTCACCAATTGAACTTGCATGGAAGTACAGCTACTTTGGGATGATATACATCAAGGAGATATGTCACCTCATCAAAAGCTTGCTCCGACGACTGGACAAATAAGTTTTATCACCTTAAAATTTAATCACAACCTCCTCTTAAATAAAATCCGATCATTTTTACTGGGTGTTCTATTTTCTTTGTCACTGAGTATATGTTACATACACTTTTTATAAAGTCCCTTTCGTCTATGTTTGCGAGAAGTACTTCATTTGAAATAATTCTGTGAGTGCAAGGAGTAAGGTTGTTCGATATTTTATATGATTTTACTTTGGTTCTATTACTGCTGCTTCAGACCATATTTTATTCATTGCCTGTGTGGATATGCGGATTTAGACGTTTATTCTCCATATTCCGCCTTTCCCATATTTTGTATTCATTTCTATACGTATATGCGGTCTTCGCCGCAGGTCGTTTTTTATGATATAAAAAACCGAACCAGCTTTTATGTCGTCGAGAGGCTTGGCCTGCTGGCACATAATATTAATATTTTTTTGTCCGTTGTATGTTTAATTTCAATTTGAACATTTTGATTAGAAAACTTTTCTAATTGCTCGTACAATCGAATAAATACAACTAATGTATCTAATCATAATTTAATTGACCACAAGGACACCAAGGTGTACAAACATAACACGTTGCATGTAACGAAATGCTATTTAAACACTATCACAGATTTTAATTAACAAGGTTCTTATATTGAAAGAACCCATTTAACACTGCTAAACAACTCCGGCTTAAAAAATCCGCCAGCAAAATGAAGTCAATGTCAATAAAAATTTCACTTTTCGTGTTAGATAAACATCGTAGGATGATCTTATCTATTTAACAGGTTACGGTTGAATGCTCCGGAAAATGGAGATGCGCAATATGTCTGTAGAAAAGACTACCAAATGTTAGATATTAGACATGTGCTCTGTTAGTAACGAGAGGCAGTCAGGAGTTACAAGATGTAGTGAGGAGACTAGATATAGCGGCTAGGAAACTGGGGCTATATACCATATAAATGAAAATAAAACAAAATGTACGGAATTGGCTGATGTTAGTAGCCAAATTGGGAAAAAAATGGAAAATAGAAGCAGAAGAAAGAAAGACCTACGTTTCTGAAAAGGTGGAAAGATTGGTATATCTAGGCACAGTATTCGCAAACAACCCAAATACCAAAAAAGAAATACATGCAAGACTAATCTCAGGGAACCGATGTGCATATGCACTTAACATAATTTTAAAAAGCAAATAAATATCCAGAAACGCTAAAACACACAGCTGGCATAAAGAAAAAAAGAGGAAGACCAAAAAGCAGACGAAAACAGCGAGTAGAAGAGGACTTACGAGCAATAGAGGTGCAGAGATGGAAGAATAAGGCGGTCGATAGATGGAAATTGCAAGAACCTCACTATCCAAACTATGGGCCTACTAGGCCTTTAGTGCATTCCTTTTCAAAAATTTCATTGAGAGTAAAGTCCATCCTCGTGCCTGCCTTGATTGGCTTGCTTGGATAGAGCCAACCTAGGGTTGTTGGTGAGCTCTGCAGAGTAGAGACATGTTCTGTGTCGTTGTGACTATCTGAGCTACTACAAGTAGACTATACTGGGGTCAAATACTTTGGATCTCCAGAATGTTAAGGAGCTGGAACGCAGAGTTTGCTAGAAGGGCGGAGCTTGAGGCTTGGGGAATGCCATTCATTTATGTATTCATCATTAGAAAGATTTACATACTTATAAGTTCCAAACCTTCGAAAGAGCTGGTGGCTACAATCTTTCATGTTCATGAAACAAATCCGATACATGAGATCTTGTATATGGAAAATTCTAGATTTGATTTGCTACAGATTCTTTTAATTATAGTTCATTGCTCATTGTATTTGTTATTTAGTGGGCAAATAGAAAAATACCATATATGCTGGTTGAATGATTTTATTAGTGAAATACGTTACTTGTACGATTTTCTTTCAGTCAAGGTTTTCATTAATAAAAAACGTCTATATTTTGCATTATTACTAAGTACATGCTTAGTGATTTTTACAACGGCAGGATGAGGCCCTTAGCTTTTGGTGAGAACAGTGACTTAGAGATTGCTTTCTAACAGGGGTGAAAAGTTCCTTCTGTGTCCAAGACTACTAACTTATACCTCACGGATGAGTTTCTAATGAATACGAAACAACGCTGCCTGCGGTTGGTCGTGGTGATCCCCCACTCCTCAAGGGTTTGAGGTTGCCTGGAACAGGGGTGGTGCAGGGACCGCACAGGGTAGGAGGGTGTGTGTGTGTGTGTGTGGTCGTGGTTACAGAGACGGAAAGCAGACATGTCCATTTGAATTAGAGGGACGCGTTTGTAAAGATTGCGGCATTTCATACAGTCATTTTTCACATATTCCATCACACTGCTTGCCGTGTTTAATCATGATAAGCAGCGTCATGCTAAATTATTGTTTCATCGGAGAATGTAGTCTGACTTGATGTGTCTAGTCTCTGCCATTCTTATGAGCGTGAATAGTGGAAAATGATCGTTCTTAAGACCTCGTTTAATATATCAATAAAATAGGTTACCGTATTGCAGTGTTGACCACGCAAATCGCAACGAATGCTTCAAATGTATTAAAAGTGAAAGTAAGTACATTGTGAAAGTGATAGATCGAACAACGACTTCCGTCAAAAATATGCACCCGATATGGATTTTTGTAATATCACTTTACATATGTATATGCCCAAAGTACGCGGGAGGTGATCTATACAATCCGTTCAACAAATAAATGAAATCAGTATTGGATAATTCGTTTACGCAAGCTGTGCAGCAGATATGATGTAATATTCGACTCGAAAATTTACCTGGCATTGTTCACATTCCCATAAGCGCGCATGGGTTTTGTTAATTGTTAACACCGATTATTCTATAACGTTTTAATGATCTCCTTAGCACAATTTCGTACTCTCTAAATTAGTAGATTAACTGAGTTTTTCAGTGATGTACTGAATTGTTTGTCCTTTTGTTTCGCCTTATATAACCTCACACGATATAATATGGTCATTACGATGTATACAGGTTGAGTCAGTGAATACGAACCAAGTCCAATTTGCCTTGAATGACATTTGGAAAAAACCTCAATTTGAAAGGCCGTGGATTTCTCTTTTCAAAGCTTTCCACCTTTTAAAGGTGATGCAGCGGAAAAAAGAGGTTCTAAAAATAAAAACAAGTTACTTAATTTTTACTCTAACATTTGTCCAAAATGTAAGCATCCTGCTTCCATAGTATAATAAAGGTTTACAGCATTTCAGGTGTAATGTTGCGACAGTTATCTTGACGCAAGTCAT